CCATCGACCATCGGCCGGTGGATACGGGCATGCATCGCCAAAGCTTATGAGCTCCAAGCTCTCCCATCGCCCAGGCGAGCGACAGCCCATTTGACCAGAAGCGTAGCCCCGACGGTGGCAAGGGTGACCCGGCCTCCGTCGAGGAGATCTGTAGGGCAGTAACGTGGTCTCCTGGATCCCCATTCATAAGGCACTACAAGCTGGACACCTTTGCTTCGGCTGAAGCGGCCTTCGGCAGGCGGGCGCTACAGAAGGTGCATGTAGACTCGGAAGGGGACCAGGCTGCTGCCCACCGTTAGGACAGCCGGCTTTGGGGTGGCCCATTCCTTGGATTCTCTGCTCAGCACACCGAGAAGCAGCATATCAGGTAAGACCAATGCCCCCTTTACGACCTTTCTTGACGCCGTCGTTAAGTGAACCACCACAGGGGGGTTAAAGTTAGTTGAACGGGTGGATAAGTGAATCCACCTTTCCCCCTTGACTCTGCTTGTCAGAAGGACGATCGTTGCGTGACTCCGGGAGGATGTCACTGCCGTAAATTGGAGTCTGTTGCCCCCGGCCCCCTGAAAATTTTTGATCGCAAGGATGCGGCAATGTCATTAAGGGTGAAAAACGGTCCTCAATCTCATTTTTCCGGCTGTAACTTGGAACGGTCGCTAAACAAATTGTTTTAAGTCGATGATGTCCTGTAGCTGGTTTGTGAGGAGGAAGTTAGAATCATGCGCGTTAGTGTGTGTTTGTGTGTACGCACGCCTGCAAGCTTGGCCGTTTTAAGACTAGTGGCCTTCCAACTCTCAGAATTCCCCAGCCAACTAAGGAATCCTAGGAGTTGAAGTCCACAAGTCTTAAAAGTGGCCAAGCTTGTATGCCCTTACGGTAGTTGACGCAATGAATCAGCTGCCCGTTTAGCGATCGTTCCAAGTTTTAGCGGCCCTGGAGTTGTAGTCCCATCAACTGAGAAAAATTCCAAGGGAGAATGCTGTGGGGCGTATTCCTCTCATCCCTCCTCCCCTTTCTTCCCCCCCCTCCAGCCCCGAATCCTCCACCTGGCGGGGACAAAACAAGCGGACTCTCAAAGTCGGCATCTTCCCGTCTTCCATCACGACAGCAGCTGAGGAAGGAGCGCCCCCTGTTGGAAGCCCGCGGATCAGCCACCCCGTCCGAAGCTCCTTCCTCCACCTGAGTCACGGGGATATCGACCCTGAGCGAGGATGGGGGTCTCCGGACCAGAAGGAGGAGTACGTAAGGGGGCAGCGCATACCTACACTCAGACTTATAGACTTAACGTGAGGAAAAGCGCGTCTTAGGATCCCTGCAGAGCAAATCTCCAGTGTTTGAGTCTATACTGCCCACCAGTGGCCATCGGCGGTACTGCGTTTTCTATCCAGGCTGCAGAAAACAGGGCTGAGGCCATCGTCCCAAGCCAGGGGAGGGGGTGGCTGGACGCCCAACCCCAACTCTCCCGCTGACCCCAGGGGAGCCATGTGCGTGGGATCGGGGACCAACTTAGGCCCCGGGTTGAATTTCCACACTTTGAAGGGAATTCCAGATAGTCCTCGGTTTACGATCAAAATTGGAAGCACGATTTCTGTGGCTAAATGAGACCGCTTAGGGGAGCTTTGCCCCCTTTTGCAACCTGCCTTGCCGCAGGTGTGAAGAAGGCCACTGGCGTTAAGTGAGTCATGTGGTCATTCAGTGAATCCAGCTGTCTCTTGCTTGGGGGAAGCCATCCAAGGTCACAAAAAGGGGATTAAGTGATCCAGGGACGATGCAACCGTTGTAAATATATGCCGGTTGCCAGGCGTCCGTATTTGGATCCTGTGAACGCAGGGATGCTGCAGCGGTCATAAGTGCCAGTTGTAAGTCACTTTCTCCATGACGCTCTAACTTCAAACGGTCATAACTGCGAGGATCAGCTTGTAAGTGACTTTCCCCCTGCTCTTCTACCTTCAAACGGTCATAAGTCCGAGAACTGGTTATACGTCCCTTTAACTTTGGTGGGTAGACGAATTGGTTGTAAAGAGAGAACTGCCTGTAATCGGCCGTCACTAACCGGAACATTGATGGTTTTTCTCCTTTATCCTAGGAAAAAACCGAAGCCTCGCGGGGGGCACCTCAGCCCCCCGACTCCCAGCAAGAGCAAGCAGCTGCTGCAACTGGCCCGTGAGTCTTCCCCATCCCCTTAATGGGAAGACTGGTCTTCTACCCCCCACCCCCCTTTATTTACCCCCCCCCCCCCCAACTGCTGCCCCCTACAGGCCTCTCCAAAAGCTTGGAGTCTATTTCCGAGTGGTCCATCCTGCGTCCCAAGGCCAAGTTCCCCCCCTTCCGGGTGGACGGGCCCAGCCGGGCTCCCCAGCGGCGTTTCAGCGACCTCCCGGCCCCCCTCCCGTTGCCCCCCAAGCCCGCCGCCGCCGCCGCTGCCCGCATCCCCAACCCGGCCCTGCCGTCCTGGGCGCTGCCCAAGGCAGACCCCGCGGCCCCCAAGGAGAAGGAGCAACGGATGGGCCGGCCGGGCCCCAAAGGCACCGGGGGGCCAAACCCTCCCGGCGGGCAGCGGCTGACCATGGGGGAGATCGAGAAGAAGATCAAAGAGGTAAGGTTCCCGCCTGGGTCTTGCTCGGCACGTCTGTGTGGCTTCCCAACGGGGGTGCCGTGAGGGCATCCATCTGGGCCTTGATCTCCCCGTCTGGATGTGGGTCTGCTGGGGGAGGGGGGTCAGTTTCCCCTGGGGGGGAGCGGAAGACGGGCCGGCGGTGGACTGGACAGGTTGAAAGGAAGAGTTCCACGATGGGAAAGGAGACCACCCAGAGATGTTCGGCAGAGCTGATCTCTAGAACGGGGGGGGGGGGGGGCGCTTTAAGGCTGGGTGGACTTCAACTCCCGGAAGGGAGGGGTCAACATTCACACGCTCAGCAGCTGGTTTGCCTTTACGACGGTCGCATCATCCCAGCCGATACCCCTTGGGGAGGGCAGGGAAGCCTGATTCACTTAACAGCCATCTTACTGCAACTCCCTTAACAACCGGCGCCCCCCCCCAAAGGTGGCAAAAAACGGGGCAGTAACTCGGCTTTAGCGACGGGAGTGTTTGGGGAGGGGGAGCTCAATAATGCCGGTCGTTAAGTTGAGGACCGCCCGCATCCGGCGGGTGTTTTGATTCAACGGGTTGGCGCTTCAATTTGCCCCCCCTGCCTCCAATCGCCTTCCTAGGTTCTGTTTTGTAGTAGGAAGATGATGGGTTTTGTAGTCCCAAGGAAGTGGGACTGCCTTGAAGGTTGGGGGGCGGTGAGGAAGGAGGGGTGGGTCTTTTTGGGGGGGGGGGGCCTCAGGTGACGCTGCCCCCTCCCCTCCCCTCCCTACCCCCCTGGGCGCAGGTGGAAGACCGGGTGCACGGAGTGACCACTGAGGAGTGCCTGGAGGCCCTGCGGATGAACGGCTGGGAGGTCCCCAAAACCGTCCAGTTGCTTAAGGTGGGTAGCCGGCATGTCCCCCCCCCCCACCGCCCCCCCCTGCAGGGTCCGCCAGTGGGAAGGGGAGAGCGGGAGGGGAGGGAGGGGCTTCTCTGCCCAGCGGTGGCTTCTGGGAGTCACGAAGGGGGAGGATTGACCCCCTCCCTGTCCTGGGCCAGAGGGGATTCTGTGACCCACGTCCTCCTCCTCCCTCTCCCCCTTTTTTCCAACTCCTCTCCTTCCTTCCTTCCCTCCCCCTTTTCTCCCACCGCCCTCCCCCTCTTCTCCCTTCCTTCTC